TTTTCCACATTTAAAAAAAATTTAAAACACAGACTCAGCCTCAAATGAAAGGTGGCATCCGTTTGACTTCTTATTTGTCTTTGAGCCTCAAATTGTCAGAGCTGAGGGGAATGTGGGGTGGCCAGAAATGATGTAAATGTGAAGGAATTTATGGAGAACTGTATGTACTTTTTTAGGTCTTGCTCATTTGTTTTTCAGATATGAATGTCTTTGTTATGTGGTAACTCAAATGGACACAGCTCTGGGATGTTTCAGAAACTTTTAGAACTTCTCCTCATGGCCAGCAGAGTTGGCAGGATTAAAAATACTAATGATTAGATTTTATAGATGTAGGAATGAATTAAAAATAGCTTGTAAAGTGTCTCCTCTGGACCATGTGTATGTATGTCTGTGTCCCATGACCTGGATGGGCACATTAAATGGGACATAGGCCTGCGTTGTTCCTTTTAAAGGTGAGCGATCAGTTTTAGCTGCGTTAGCTAATTCCCTCAGACTCATGGTGAGTTGTGCTAGACTGAGTTCACATGGCCAGTCAGCTAGCATGAACCAGATCTTCTCATTTTGAATCAATTTACTTTAAACCCCACATTTAAAGACTTTCAGTGTTTGGGTTGAAGCCAAGTGTGTCTAGATAGTCTCATTCTGAAAGCATTATTTTTGGTCAAGGCAACAGCAATCGAACTCGGGTTGGCCATGCTGGCTGCATGCAAGGCAAACGCCCTACCGCTGTGCTATCGACACAGTAACAACAAAGTCTCCAATGGAGACGTTACTGGGCCCGCTCGAGGAAATCGACGATCAACGGGAGGGCCTTTACTTTTACTTTACAACAGCAATGAAGAAATTATTTTATTATATTTTTGGTTTATTTTGGGGGGGAGGGCACACCTGGTCGTGCTCAGGGTTTAGTCCTGGCTCAGGGGTCACTCCTGGTGGGACTCACAGGACCATATGTGTTATCGGCTGCATGAAATGCCCTATTTGCTGTACTGTGTCTCCAGTCCCAGAAATTAGAGCTTAACCAACTATCTTTAAGTATTTGCTTTTCATCCCTAATGATATCCTCAGCAAATGTAATAAATATCCAGCACAATATTTGTAGTAGTAATTCAGAAATAGGCGCGATTGAAGAGGAAATAACTAGACCTGAATGTAACCTCAGTAAGGCTCATTTTGAAAGGAAGCCATGATGGAGTGTCAGATACTGAAATAAATACCTGTGATTTAGCAGCCAGGTACTCAGTCTTTTTGTTTCTTAGTGACTTACTTTTCCAAATTTAGTAACACTGGCTTCCAAAGGGATGCTTATGCCTATTTTTTTTCTGGCATTTTCAGTTGTTAAACACGTAGTTCAGAACTATTCGGCTGGGAATGGATGGGGAAAGGTTGTATTTCTTGTGACCTGGCTGAAATAGAACACTTAGTCAGGTGGGAACATTCCCCCATCTCCTGTGTCTGAGTTCTCTATCAAAACTCTCATATAAGCCGCACCCCATATGTCAGCAGAACAGTAGTGAAGACGAGGCACTGTCATAAGCTTTTCAGGCTGGTTAATATCCTAAAAGTGCCTCTAAATCATCAAAGGAAGATTAAATTTCAATCATTCAATTATGCTGTGCATCGTTTATTATTCAGAGCATCCTAGTAATTCAGGTTCTAAAATAGATGACTCACAGCTCTGCATGTGGATATCCAGAACCCCCTCTCACAACACACACACACACACACACACACACACACACACACACCACACATACACACATATTTGCCTTCTTGATTATGCCAAATAACAGCATTTTTTTAGCATTTTAATATTCAACAAAATCTTCCATAGAATTCTGGGGTGGGAGGGGACTTATTATTTTTCCAACCAGTAATCATTTTGTAAACATCTTCCCCCCCCATAAGCTGTAGATTCACTGGAACAAGAAAATCTCCCAATTGAATGTCAATTGATTTTGCAGGGAAGCATTGTAGTGCCATTTGTGTCAACAGAAGAATAATCAAAATGGGATTTTTCTGGGTGCCATGTATATATACCCAGAAGAATGACAATTAGACTCTGGGTACTGAGAGACCAGGGAAAAATACTAAATACTCAAGTAACTACAGATTAACACCATGGTAAATCTGGTGGGAGAATATAAAACCCCACCTTGTATAGAAACAGGTAGTAGCCCTCTCCAGCCCTGGTATCCTGCATTTGTGTTTTATTTTATTGGTTTTGGGATCACACTCAGCAATTATCAGGGCTTACTCCTTGGCTCTGTACTCAGGGATCACTCCTGGAAGGCTCAGGGATCATGTGGGATGCTGGGAATTGAACCCTTGTTGGCTGAGTGAGTGCAAAGCAAGCACCTTCGTGCTGTACAACCACTCATCTATCTTCTGTAATGCTTACCTTAGTCAAACTTCCCCTTTTCCTCTTCTGTGGAGGCAAGGGTTCCCCCCCCCACCCCCGTGCATCTCCTTGTCCCCGGGCCCTGTAATATCTCTGGCCTCTCCTCACCTTATCCCCAGGTTACTTCTTTTGTTTGCTCTTGGGCCACACCTGGTGCTCAGCGCTTACTTCTGACTCAGTGCTCAGGAACCACTCCCGGCAGGGCTTGGAGAAGCATATGGGGTGCCAGGAATTGAACTTAGCAAAGGCAAGTGCTTTATCTATTGTACTCTCTCCAGCCCTCCCCCGGCCACTTAGTCTGTCTGTACCAGGTCCTCAGCAAAGCAAAAGTCTGGGAAAGCACAGAGTTCTTTATCGTGTCCCCCTTCCATCCTATCCTCACTGTGTCAGTACCAAGCTCCTCAGATGGAATAGAGCACAGTTGAGTGTCTGCCTGGGGCCTGTTGGCATACATCATAGGGGTGAATAAGATAGGGCATAACCCCAGCTCACTGTGGTTCCCCCTTCTGCTTGGCGTCCTTCTTCTACGGCCTTATACAGCAGTTAGTCCAAGAAGAACCAAAATTCCATCTGCAGATATGAACCACAAGCCTGTCTCCTACGGTTCCTTCCATCCCAGGCACCCCTCCCCCTTATGTCATTCTCATTCCATTCTGCCCTGCCCAGTGAGAGAATCCCCATCTGCACGCTCCCCCTCAGCCCCATGCCTGTGGTCCTCCCCCAGGCACTCTCCATCTTCCTCTGCCCTGCTCCTACCCTTCCTGCCTAGACTCCTGAACATCTGTACCTGCTGCACCCCTTTTCCTTCCCAGGAAGGAGCCAGCCCAGAGCCTCCACGCCTCCGCCCCTGCTTCTGCAGTCATCACCACGTGTCCCAAGCTTGCGAGGTTAAGAGACTGAATTAAAAGCCAGATGAAGTAGAAAGCAAGAAACATATTAAAGATGCCACCAGGGGTCAGGTTTTAAAAGCTCTCCAAATCAGGTCTGACAAACCCAGAAAGAAAGAAACAGATAATGACACGTATTACTAAGAAACCAAGCTGGGAGAGAGAGGAGCAGAAGCTGTGTTTTTCTGACCCGGGAGACGGACTCTGGGTCATTGTGGTGTACGCAGGCACCTCAGATAGCATTGTGGGTAGTGTGTGTCTGCATGTGTGTGTGGGGTGGAGGGGTGCAGAGAGTTGGGCATGGAGCAGACTCTGCAACCCCAGCTGGCCTTTGCAGCTCTCTCAGGCTTTGATTTTCATGTCAAACACCAGAAGGACAATAAGATGAAAAAAAAAACATGAAGTTTCCATTGTTCCTGACTAGATGCAAGAAGCAGAAACATGGCAGTATAGCCAAAGCAGCTTGGGCGATCTGCTAGACCAGCCTAGTCATCTTTGTGTACACTGTGTCCTTTTTAGGGGAAGCAGCTAGAACTGACAAGGGATGGTGGCAGGTGAATCCTTCCACTTTCTGGGGCCTTTCAGCCGACCTAACAGCGGGTCCTAGCAGCCCTGGAACTTGAGTTGGGTATGGAATTGAGCGTCTTCAAGGAAGCCATTTTGCTCAAGGACCTGTCTCTTCATGACCTCCATGGGGAAAGCCAATAGCATGACTGCTTGGAATATTTGTAGAGGAGGGAGACAAAGCTAACATGCTGGATGACAAACTTAGAAAGAAAAACAGAACTTCCCCACCTGGAATCATCATTAAGCCCACTGTGGCTAAATTTAATAAGGCCCTGAGCAATATTAGGAGAGTTCCTGTGTATATGTTATCTATGTGTATGTTTGTGGGGGGTGTTTAAATTTCACTAGATCAAGGAGATATGAATTAGTGAGAATTCATGTGATTTTGGTTGTGTGATCTAAGGAGGGAGGGACTAGGAAGGGAAACAAAGAGAGAAGGAAGGGAAAATGTTCAACCTGCCCATTTAGACAGGATGTCTGTCATGGAGAAGACCTAGTTTATTTCTTGTGTTGAGTGTATTCTATTCATAAGTCACAGAGGTTTATAGCCTCAAATGGACTCATGTAGCCCCAAAGAAAAATGATATTGAAAAAGCTCCTTCTAAGAGGTGCATGTCAGTCCCAAGGATCTTGACAGTCTCTAGCTTGCATGCTGATCTCTTGACTGGTCTGGGAGAAGGGTCTGTATTGATCACTTGATCACTTGACATCCCGTTATTCATCGATTCACTCGAGCGGGCGTCAGCAACATCTCCATTCATCCCTGTCACGTGCTAATGTAGCCCAATGGCAAGGAACATGAAGAACCTCAAATCAATCGTTCAGGGTCTTGACGAAGAAGTCTGACCATCACATAGGTGGGCAGCCACGTAATCTTTTGACATCCCGTGGAATCCAGTCAGTAATGGCTCTAGTCCAGCGGTCATCTCTAAATCTCATTATGTGTCCAGCCCATCTGATTTTCGATGCCTTGGCAAATGAGACAGCGTCCCTGGTCTGTATATTGTATAAAATGAGGATGGCTCCATAAAAACCATTAGGATTTCCCTTAAGGGACCTTCAAGTAGAAAAGGCACCGTTATATCCCTTTCTTGACTTAGATGGAAGGGTACATTTTATTTGCCATTTCTCTGCTATTTTTGTAGATATGTGGAACTGACCAACTACTGCGATTATAAAGACTACAGAGAAACTATACTGAGCAAACCGATGCTGTTCTTCATTAATGTTCAGACCAAAAAAGACAGCACAAAAGGTAGGTCTATAAATAACTTTGATCTGGTACTGCCTTACCAGGACTTATGGCGTATTGATAAGGTGAAAATCAGGCGTAGAGAAATCAGGGTGAGTGTCAGCTTGTGACCAGGCTGAGAGGGAGAAACCTGGCATGTGGGCTTGTGCAGCATAAGCCCCCCCCCCCATACAAACCTCTAACTGGGCTGCAGGCAGAAGCCGTCTGTCTCTGAGTTTTCTTTTGTACTTCCTGTCTAAACAGGAAGTGATTTGATGTTTTCAGCTTGCAAGGGTTGCCAAAATAAATGGAGTTATGAAGATATTATTTAATACTATCTACCACATATTAAGCACTTCCACATGTGAGGCATACTCTCATGTCATTCACTGACACAACAGCCCTGTAAGATTTATCATCCAAACAGGTTTACTTCTGAGTATAAAAGTTGATTGAGTGCACAACTAGGATGCATGGTCCTCTACCTCTTCCACTTCCACTGTCTTCATTTTGTAGACAATGATGCAATGATAGAGAATATAAATAGTTGGCATGCATGCTTTTATATTTTATTCTATGAAATTTAAATAGAAACTGTAGGCACATCTTTTCATTACTTTGTCTAAGAAATCAGACCAACAACAGCTATATTAGCTCAGATTCCAGTGTCAAAATAATCTCAATTTTCCCTTTTTCTTGCTCAGAGTTTTATATGGGGAAAGTGCTGGGCCTAAGGTTTTATGATAAAGAATTTCTTTAAATTTTTTAAAATCTTTTTTTAATTTAGGTACTGTGATTTACAATGCTTTTAATGATGGTTTCATGGGCACATAATTCCAATGCCACACCCATCACCAGAACACCCACTTTCCCTTTTCCAAGGTCCCTAAAGCCCCTCCCCCTCAATTCCTGCCAGCAAGGAGAATTTCTTTTTTTTTTTTTTTTTATTATTATTAGTGAAACACCATGAGGTACAGTTGTAGATATACAAATTTTTGTGCTTGGATTTCGGTCATACCATGATCAAATACCCATCCCTCCACCAGTGCCCATTTTCCACCACCAGGATAATATCCCTCCCTCCCCATCCCCCCATCCCCCCCTGCCACTGTGGCAGGGCATTCCCTTTTGTTCTCTCTCTCCTTTTGGGTGTTGTGATCAGCAAAAGAGGCATTGAGTGACGAACATGTTCAGTCCAGTCTACTTTCAACCTGCATCTCCCCTCCTGGGAGGATCCTCCAAACACCCTCCATTTGGTGTTCCCTTTTCTATCTGAACTGTCCTTTCCCCTAGAATACCCGGCTGGCCTCTAAGCTATGGAGTAATCCTCCTGGTGTTGATCTCAGCTATTCTTGGATATTAATCTCATATTTTGTTATTTTATATCCCCCAGATGAATGCAATCTTTCTATGTCTATCCCTCTCTTTCTGACTCATTTCGCTTAGCATGATACTTTCCATATTGTACCACTTGTATGTAAAGTTCATGACTTCATCTTTTCTAAGAGCTACATAGTACTCCATTGTGTAGATGTACCAAAGTTTCTTTAACCAGTCATCTGTTCTTGGGCACTCAGGTCTCTTCCAGTTTCTGGCTACTGTAAAGAGTGCTGCAATGAACAAACAAGTGCAGATGTCACTTCGGCTACACATTTTTGCCTCTCTGGGATATATTCCTAGGAGTGGTATCGCTGGGTCAAATGGGAGCTCAATTTCTAATTTTTTGAGGAACGTCCATACTGTTTTCCAAAAGGGCTGAACCAGTCGACATTCCCACCAACAGTGAAGGAGTGTCCCTTTCTCGCCACATCCGCGCCAGCAACGGTTGCTTTTGTTCTTTTGAATGTGGGCCAGTCTCTGAGGTGTGAGATGGTATCTCATTGTGGTTTTGATCTGCATCTCCCTGATGATTAATGATGTACAGTATTTTCTCATGTGCTTTTTTTGCCATTCGGATTTCTTCTTTGAGAAAGTTTCTGTTCATTTCATTGCCCCATTTTTTGATGGGGTTGGATGTTTTCTTCTTGTGGAGTTCAACCAGTATTTTGTATATCCTTGATATCAACACCTTGTCAGATGTGTATTCGGCGAATATTCTTTCCCATTCTGTAGACTGTCTTTGTATTTTGGTCACTGTTTCTTTGGAGGTACAGAAGCTTCTTAGTTTAAGATAGTCCCATTTATCTATCTCTGTTTTCACTTGCTCAGCCAGTGGCGTGTCATCTTTGAAAATACCATTAGCCTCAATGTCATGGAGGGTTTTGCCAACTTTGTCTTCAATGTACCTTATGGTTTCTGGTCCGATGTTGAGGTCTTTAATCCATTTTGATCTTACCTTTGTACATGGTGTTAGGCAGAGTTCTGAGCCCATTTTTTTGCACGTAGCCTTCCAGTGATGCCAGCACAATTTGTTAAAGAGGCTTTCCTTACTCCACTTCACATTTCTTGCACCTTTATCAAAGATTAGATGATCATATGATTGAGGGGAGATGTCAGTGTATTCAACTCTGTTCCATTGGTCTGCAGTTCTGCCTTTGTTCCAGTACCATGCTGTTTTGATTATTACCACTTTGTAGTAAAGTTTGAAGTTAGGGAGGTTGATTCCTCCCATTTTCTTTTTCCAAGGAGAATTTCTTAAACTCTTAAATAATATTCTTAAAATGAATCCAGGATCCTAAGAAATATCTCCAGATTCCTAAGAGATGTCCTGAAATAGTCACCCTCATTGTGCTTCTCTGCTCATTTCATTGGGAATCATTCTGATCCTCTGCTCACCACCTGGTGTAGAGTCCAAGTACTCTGGGGAGGCCCATGGCAGGAGGCTCGGTAATAAGCCATGCTCATTCCTGCCAGACCCTGATTTGACTGGATGATGCCAGGGAGCCTGAGACTTTTCTTGGAATGCAATTCATAGAGATATTAAGTATAGCCTCAGCTTCCATCTCTTTGAAGGAATCGTAAGAAAGACTAAGAGGTCTTTCCATGTTAACACTTTAATGAAAGAGCAGAAATGATACCAAGAGGTATTTGTGCGTGGCTAAAAATGGCACACACTTATGACAAATATTGTGGAAGGAGTCGGCAGAAACCCAGGGCTGTTGTTATGAGGAAAGCCTTGAAATGACAAGACTCTGTAATACAGAAATTTAAGACAGTCAAGTTTAAATTCTGAAAATTCTGATGAAGTCACCATGGCTAATGTTATTTTAAACTGGGCTTTTGTGTAAATTTGAAAAAGAAAACAAATTTACCACTAACTCATAATCATTCATTATGTCTTCCCAGTAATTAATCACAATAAAGAGACAAAGATACTGTCTATGAGTGTGATGTGGTGCAGGGTTGGGGGTCTCTTGCACAATCTTCCCGACAGCACAAGTATGGAGTTCAGTGGTCTGGGCTATTTCATGAGTCCCAAGGACTTGGTTTGTTCATTCAGGTTTTCAAGTTGAGGTATAAACACCTCACCTGGCTGGGTTTATTTATCTCTTATGTCAAAGAGAATATAGAAAGTTTATATCTAATGTGCATCCCCATCCCAAATAAATAATTTTGGATAAAAGAAAAGGGATTCATTAAAAGAAGATGACTAGACTTAGTTAAAAAAATTCATAGAAAAGGCACTCAAGGGTGTAGAACATGTTGAATTACCTCCTCACACGTGGTGGACCACGGGTTTGACACTTAAGGCCAACACAAAAGGTTCAGTCTTCAAAGATCACATGTATGGGCCGTGTCCTTTATACAGAGGGCAACAAGCTATGTGACACATTCCCCTAGATCACACTTGAGTGATGAGAGCTGTTGGTCTGAGAACTGGCTGTGTTGGGGGCAGAAAGGAAAAAGATGAACTTCAAATTGCCTTGAAGTCTAGACTGGCCCTCTAGCTGGATAAATGCCAGGTCAATGGGGGACAAGGCAGCAAACTCTGGTGAGGAGAGAAGACAGGGAATGAGGACACGTGGGTGAGAGCCAAGTTGCTGTTTAAATATTCAGCGAGACAATAACATGAGACCCAGCCAACTGAGTTTTCACTTTAGCTGAATGTGTGCCCCTGAGGCCCCCGTCTCATCTGTGATAATTATCCCAGTGGAATTTTGATTTCTGAGACCAGTGACAAACCCCACTCCCAGGGCAGTTGGTTTCTTCACCTGCTCTTCAACCTTTTAAGAAATCTTGCCTGGCTTTTGCTCTCGCTTTTGCGGGGCTAAGGGACCAAGGAAGTGAGTTTCAGATGAATGTATTAACAGTATTGTAAACTGTGGAATCTCAATGAATGGCATCAACGACAGCAAAACAAAAATAGAAGAGTTACAGAGGAATGGAATGTCCAAATAGGTGGGATCACAGCTTGATCAAATGCTGAGATGCATGTTTATGTCACCTATGTGCTCATCTTTATGGATTCTGCTTCCTAATTTCTAGAAAGGACATATGCGTTTCTTGTGAACACAAGGCACCCCAAGATAAGAAGACAGATAGAGCAAGGGATGGACATGGTCATTTCCTCTGTGATCGGAGAAAGCTACCGGCTCCAGGTAAGCCTTAGCTTGTCCGAATTCGGGGCTATTCACATCATTCTGAGGCCCAGACTTAAGGATTACTGAACTACAAAGACATGTTGACTTTCTATGGCATCATTAGCACTAGCAGTAGAAAAAGCTGTTCCTAGCAATAAGAAATTGTTTTCTAGAATTGGAGCTAAGAATAAATTATACACACATATATAACAAGATCATGTTATATATGTGTGTATCTAACATATATGTAACATATTATATATGTAACATATGTTTAGTTTGAGGGCCACACCTGGTGATGCTCAGGGCTTAGCCCTGGCTTTGAGCTCAGGTGTCACTCTTAACAGGATTCAGGGGACCATTTGCAGTGCCAGGGATTTAATTGGGGTCAGCTGCATGCAAGGCAAGTGCCTTAACCCCCTGTAATTACTATCTCTCTGGACTCAAGATATTTAGATAGAGATGCAAATACAAAATTCTGTCTATAAAACTCAAGGCAATTATTAAATGCTGTCTGTCACAATGAAATATATGAGATTTGATATTTTGAATATTTGGGAAGTTCATAGTAATATATAATTTTAAAAGAAGTTTTATCCATGAAATTAATTAATTAATGCTTCTCTCTTTCAGTTTGATTTTCAAGAGGTAGTAAAGAATTTTTTCCCTTCAGGACATGAGGTGGTTAATGGAGAAAATTTGAGCTTTGCCTACGAGTTCAAAGCTGATGCCTTATTTGATTTCTTCTATTGGTTTGGGCTCAGTAATTCCACTGTCAAAGTGAACGGAAAGGTTTTGAACTTGTCAAGTACAAGTCCAGAAAAGAAGGAGACAATTAAATTATTTCTGGACAAAATGAGTGAACCACTAATTCGAAGGAGCAGTTTCTCTGGCCGGAAATTCAGTGTGACTTCCAGAGGTAGGTCACTATACCTAGCTGCCTGAAAGCTTGGCACTTACATAAAAGTTCCAAAGAACACATGGGAGGAAGAGAGAATTCATGGAACAGTCAAGCTCTCTTGATAAACAGCACAAAATTCAGAGAAGTCAGAGAGGAAAAATGTCAAGCACTGACAAAGAAACTTAGGGCTTTTCTTTTTAGGCTCCTTAAGGTTTTCTGGTACTGTTATATTTAGGGCAACACATCCAGGAAGAAAATTTGAAATGCATAATCTAAATACATATTGGTACTCATTAAAATCATATTTCAGTGCTTTAACTGTTATGAATAAAGGAATGATTCTTCTTGATGTGTATATTCGGTATATTAGTAACACAGGATGTCAACTAAAGGTTCAGTTCAGGGAATCTGTGTGCTAGCTATCTTGCAAAATATTCGACAGGGTTCCACAGAGTTTATAGGGCCACAAAAGAGCTTTTTTTGTTGGTTTGTTTTGGGGCCATACCCAGTGATTCTTAGGGATTATTCCTGGCTCCTCACTCAGGAATTCCCCTGGCCACACTCAGGGGACCATATGGGATACTGTGGATTGAACCTGGGTCAGCCGAATGGAAGGCAAGCACCATACCCGCTGTACTGTCACTCTGGCCCACAAAAGAAAATTAAAAAATATTTTTTTATTTAACTAAAGAAATGTGATTTACAAAGTTACTGGTAGTTGGGTGTTTGGGGTTTAGGTTATAGAATATTTTGACAATATTCCCACCAGCACTGCCAACTTCCCTCCACCACTGTTCCCTTATTCCTCTTGACTCCCCCTCCTCTGCTCCCGTCTTACCACCTGCCGCCTTTTGACAAGCACATTTAAAAGTTTTGTGGTTGTAGTTTATATCTCATGTTCTCAGTGTTACTGAGTCCAGGCTTTGAATATGTAGCTGTAGCCCTCCCCTACATCACCAGTAAACCGAGGTTCCTGACACTTGCTCCCCCATTTCTTCCTTTTATCTTTGTCTTCCTCCCCTTCTTGACTTCCTTCCTTCTTTGTCTTTCTCCTCCCTTTACATTGGAATCAAGGCTGTTTTATGCATTCCCTCCACTTTACTACATTACATCTCCTCATCCGGTTATTTTATATAACACAGATAAGTGAGATCATCCTTTATTTGTACTTCTTCTTTTGGCTTACTTCACACAGTATGATATTTTCCAGTTCTAATCAGGTTATAGAAAATTGCATGATTTCATTTTCTCTTGAATCTGCATAGTATTCCATTGCATATATATACACAGAGCGATAGCACAGTGGGTAGGGCGTTTGCCTTGCAAGCGGCCAATATGGCTGACCCGAGTTCGAGCCCAGCAAACTACGGAGAGTATCTTGCCCGCAGCACGGCAAAGCCTGGCAAACTACCTGTGACGTATTCGATATGCCAAACACAGTAACAATTGTCACAATGGAGATGTTACTGAGCCCGCTCCAGCAAATCAATGAACAACGGGAGGACAGTGATTCAATCCATTCATCTGCTCTTGGGCACCTAGGTCAGTTCCAGATTTTAGCTGCTGCACTAAATGCTACAATCCATAGTAGTGTGCAGATGTTCTTTTGAGTGAATGATTTTTTGAGGAGAATTCACTTCATTGCAACTCATAGGTGGTGAGTTCTGGGTCTTAATATCCAGTGCCTCTCCCCAGGAGTTGGCCTGAATTTTCAGTCTGCTATGAGGAAGGCATCTATCATGATTTGCCTGCATTTGTCTTTCGCTGAGTCTACTCTCTGGCCCACAACTAGTCCGGGATGGCTGAATTACTTCTGACTGCTCAAAAACAAAAATCAAGCAATAAAACCAGAAAACAACAGTTTATGGACCTGCAGTTTTTTTTTTAAAAATCATTTGCAAAATTATCTTCATTACTTGTATTCCATTAAAATTACTTGCTTCCAATGTTTACAACAAAACAGTGTTTAGTCCTAGATATTTCCTACCCTGGATGTGATAAGAGATGCTCTCTTTCCCATTTGCTGTTCTTTTACTTCTTTTCCATCCTTCTTGATTTTGGAGGAAGAGGAATGGGTCAGAGTGGGGGAGCAGGGGTTCTGGCAGTTTGAACCTGTCAGGTGCTTAGGTAATTTGGTGTCTCACTGTTTTCGTGCTATGGTTTATGGTGCTTCATGCTGGAGTGTTTGAGTGCCAATGCCACGTGTTGCTGGGGATGAGACTGGGGCCTCCACACGCAGAACATGGATTTCAAACTGTGAACCATCTCCTGCCCCCATCTTCTTCTTTCACTCTTTCTCCTTCTCCAAGTTATTATTACTCTTACTTTTTGATTTGGGGCCACACCTAGAAGAGCTCGGGGTTTATTCCTGGCTCTGTGCTCAAAGATTACTGCAGAAGGGGGCTTAGGAGACTCTTTGGAGTGCCAGGGAATTAACCCCTGTTGCCTACATTCAAGACAACTGCCCTCCCTGATGTACTATCTCTCCAGCCTCTATTCTTCCAAGTTATTTTAGCTTTCCCTACTTGCCTTTTCCTCAAGATATTCTTCTGAAAGTGGATCCTGGGAACAAGATTGATTTTCCCAGTAGTGGTTCCATCGTGGATGTCTCTATCCTTTCTCTGACACCTGCTCTGGTCAGGAAGAGAGCTGGACCCATTTAACATAACTGATCTGTCATGTAGGGTTCCCAGTAGAAGGTTCTAGGCTGAGCTCATCTGGCTCTGTGTTGCTGAGCCAGTTAGCCTACTTCATCCCCCTCTCAAATACTGATCTTTGTTCTAGGCATCTGTTCCCGAAATATGGGCCTTTTGCCACTCAATGTGAAAGGGTACACACACCACATAGCTGCCCCGCCCACCGGAAGGTACAAGTCCATTGTCTCACGGAACACAGCAGTGGCTTCCTGATTAGATTTGTAGATTTTTCTAATCACTTTAATTTTTTATTAAAATGGTTATGTATGCCTGTTCCAAAGGCTTTGCTTTTTCATCCGTGGCACTGATGCATGCCCCTGTTTGCTTCTTTCAGGTTCAATAGATGACGTTTTCAACTGCAATCTGTCACCCAGATCATCTCTGACAGACCCTCTCTTGGCAGAGTTTCCATTTCCAAGTGTTCTGGAATCGGATGAGACACCCAACCAATTTGTCTGATCTGATGGAACATTTTGCAGTGACTCCTACACCCCAGACCTGTGCCTAAACTGGAAGTTGACAGGACAAGGAGGTGGAAGGAAGACCCTTTACTCCACCTGTCAAGCCCTCTGGCCCTCCTTGACTCCTATGAAGATATCTTCTCCACTTCTGTGGGCAATGCTATTGCAGGCCCACTGATGCAGCTGACATTAGAATGGGAGGCTTGGTCCTATGTCCTGGCGGGGCGGGGGAGGGGGGCGGTGATTCTCCTTTAAATACTTCTCCAAAGAGGCAGAGGGAACAGATTTTTGCCACTGTGAACACTTTGCTTAGTAGCCTGGAATCCCAGAAGTGCCCTGGCAATGTTTGGGGAACAATCTGACTTGAGACTCGTAAATCAGGGTTTGGTCCTCTGCTGGGAATAACCTTACTTGAATCCATGGTGTCAAGCATAAGGTTAGCACTGCTGTTCTTTTGAAAACCTGAATGGAGAGAAGATCTTTCTTTCACTGGAAGGTGAGAATCTTTCACTGGAAGGTGAGAATGATTTTTATTTTTCCACAGAAGGAACATTTGGAGTAAGGTTTCCTGAGGGTTGATGGGACCTCAGTTCTGCCATCCAGCCACTGCCTGCAACACATTTCCCTTGGAGTCCTTAACAAAGTGGCCTGTGTAGAAAGAGGCCAGGTGATGTGGTACCAAGCAGCGACAGGATAATGTATGCAGCAATCTTCCTTTTATTGAAAGCACATTATGTCAGTTGGGTATTTTAAGTAAACTGTTAGGAAAACTAAAGCTAAAAGCAAAATAGAAGAAAGCTATAACATTACCATAACACATCGTTAGCCCCATATATTTTCATCTAACAACTACAGTGCAATTTTTCAAAAAGAAAAAAAGCATCTTATCTTCATGTAAAAACCTGTATGAATGAATTGCTACATAGTTATATAATGAGGATGATTTATGGATCCTGGGTATAGTTTTTCTGTCCTTTTTAAAAAATTAAGTGTTCTTGTATTATACTTTTTGATAGCACTACTGATAGTCCTTTCATTTATTTTTGAAATAATACGTGCTACATTTGTACAATTAAAATTTTTCTAAGTACTCAAGAGAATTGATTAAATTTGGAACTCTGCGTGCATGTTATCTGTCTATTGTGATTTGCAAATAGTGTTTGCCTTGAAACTTACTCAATTATAGGAATAATTTTGTGATCTTTCACAGTCACTTTCCAAAGAAAAACTGAAAAACAAATTTCTAACATATCTGGAGAACAAAAACACAATTTCATAATGACCTTTCAAAGGGGAAGGAGTGATTTTTAATAACAGAAGAAGAGGAACACATTTTATACACCTCAATGGAAAATGAAGCTTATTAACAATAAATGAAGTTCTACCAGTAACTAACAAAACTTAAGATAATATGCAATATTACATTCTTCCCCAAGGTGAAGGGGGGGCGTTCCGGTCCGTCCTTCACGCCCTACCGAGGTCACCAGTTGCCCCCCATGAACGGCTCTCCAGCATGGCCACAGCCCCAGAAGCACAAGGACTTAATGCAGAACCCAGCAGCTTGGAGCAGAAAAGTGAAAGGACTATGTGTTAATCCAGGCCATCATGTCTGCCCGGAGGGGAAAGGGTGTTGGTCCCTTCCGCCCTCCTCCCTCTGGAAAGAAAGGTGGCGGCCACATGGGAGCCTTGTGGACAGCAGGTATGAGCCGGGGGTGTGGGGGCGACTAAAACCTCATGGGAAGGGGGGCGTTCCAGTCCGTCCTTCACGCCCTACCGAGGTCACCAGTTGCCCCCCACGAGCGGCTCTCCAGCACGGCCACAGCCCCAGAAGCACAGGGACTTAATGCAGAACCCGGCAGCTTGGAGCAGAAAAGTGAAAGGGCTATGCGTTAATCCAGGCCATCATGTCTGTCTGGAGGGGAAAGGGTGTTGCCCCAGTCGCCTTCTCCTCTCTGGAAAGAAAGATGGCGGCCGCATGGGAGCCTTGTGGACAGCAGGTATGAGCCGGGGGAGTGGGGGGGCGACTAAAACCTCATGGGAAGGGGGCGTTTCGGTCCGCCCTTCACGCCCTACCGAGGCCACCAGTTGCCCCCCACTAGCGGCTCTCCAGCACGGCCACGACTCCAGAGCACAGAAACCAATTTCTTAACTATCTGACTTTCAGTAGAAATACTTCCAGGGTCAATAAGTAAAATAGCAGAAATCCAAAACCAACATTTAATTCTTGAACCCAGCTGTAGAAAGCAAATCACGTCACAATGCTTTTTCAGCATGTCTGATTTGGGGGGGGGTAAACTCTAAATTATAGTGGTGAATCTTTTATTGAAACAATGAATCTAATCAAAGCAGATAGAGTGTTAACTAGAATTCATCTGCCCCACAGGGACTGGGAGGGGTGGGGGGTGGGGTTTTATTGGGGTTCTTCATGGTAAAAAAAAAAGTATTGGTAAAGGGAAATGTGTTTGATATTTGCATGACTGAGACCTAAACCTGAAAGCTTTGTAACCTTTCCCAAGGTGATTCAATAAATAATAAATAAATAAATAAATAATAACAAAAAAAAATAAATAAATTCTTCCCCAAGGAAATAAATCTACACATAAAAATTGACACAGATATTTTTGGAAAGTGGCTGAATTGAGAAAAATCATCAATAATCAATCCAGGAATGGACCGAGTAGTTGTAATATTTCTTTCACTGTTAAAAATGACTTTTCAGGGCCTAGAGGAATAGCTCAGTGATGTAGAGCACCTGCTTTGCAAGCATAGTATCAGGAGCTCGAATCTCCCATGTTCCTCATGGCCGAGTTTCATCCTGGCAGCTATGCCGTCTGTGATCTCCAGCATTGACACGTGATTCCCAGGAGTGCTATAGCCAGGGGTATGTGTGTCTGTGTGAACCCCACAACTGAAAAAGATACAAAAGTGCCATAGCCTGGAAGTCCAGCTCTTGTGGGTAATGTGGGTGAGTACAGCACAGCTATAGGAGTGCAAAGTCCTGTAAGCACCAAGGCTGAGTGTGCAAGCTTGGCGATCTAGTGTTCCACTCAGGTGAGGACGACAGCTACATGTGTGACCAGCACATCCCAGCACATGTGTACACATCACAATAGCAGCAGTGACGGAATTCAAAATAGAAAGCAAAACAGTTTCAGTTAACTCTGAACCAAATGCACTCACTCATTCAATATCATACAACAACATTTTATCAAGTGTCTATTAGGATATAATCACTATGCTCATGTATTTTGTCTATTTATTTTGGTTAGGGGGGCCACACCTGGTGATGCTCAGGACTTATTCCTGGCTCTGTCCTCAGGGATCACTCCTGGCAGGACTCAAAGGAACTATATGGGGTGCCAGGAATAAAATCTGGGTCAGTCGCAAGGCAAGCATCCTATCTGCTGTTTTATTACTCCAACATTGCTACTGCATTTTATTAGCAAATACATTGGAGGAAATATCAGGCACTCCTTAAAATTGATTGGAAGATACTTGGGACATACCTTACTAGATGAAAGAGATTTCAATCTCTATAAACGAAATACAGATTCAGAAATTTGAACCATGTGAGACCAACAGAAATTGATAGGACAACAATGACCTAAGCAATTCATCCATCCATCTGTTTATCCACCCAATCCATCCATCCATTCCACACCTCTGACTGAGCGCCTTCTCTGCAATGAGGTACATGCTGGTATACAATAATGCCTCACATGGCCCTACCTTTCAAAGAGTTTACAGTCTCATAAAAGAAGACAGGTGCACAAACAAATAAAATAAAATAAGTGCCCCACGAGAAGCCCAAACAGTGATACGAGGTGAACTAAGTAAGGAATTGAAAAGTTTTATTCATGTGGACTAGATATAACTAAAGCAAGTGAACTGGTAACAGTCAAAACAACTAACTCCTGGATTAAGCGAAAACTGGCGGTTATCAGAGGGAAAGAGAAGAGGGAGTTGGAGGAATGTGTAGAGTAACATTCTGGTGGTGGGATAATATTAGAATGTTATGGTAGGAGTGGTAAGAATTTTATGCATGTTGTGATACAGAGCTAATCATCTGAAATTCCATACTTCTGTAAAGAAATGTTAAGTCAATACATAATTTTTTAAATGAAATATCAGGATGCTGGAGTGATAGTACAGCAGGTAGGGTGTTTACCTTGCATGTTGAGACCTGGGCTCGATCCCTGGCACTGCATATGGTCCTTCAAGCCCACCAGGAATTATTCTTGAGTGCAGATTTATGAGTAAGCCCTGAGCAAACAAAAATATTGAAGAAACAAAGAGAAAAATCTCAAAGTGCTTATGATGCAGTTTTGGAGAGAAAATTAATTATAAAAATTAATGCATTTGGGGCTGGAGTGATAGCACAGCAGTTAGGGTGTTTGCCCTGCACACGGCCGACCTGGGTTCGATTCCCAGCATCCCATATGGTCCCCTGAGCACTGTCAGGAGTAATTCCTGACTGCTTGAGCCAGAAGTAACCCCTGTGCATCGCCAGGTGTGACACACACAAAAAAGAAAAAAATTAATGAATTTAATTTTGTAGAAATATCTAAGCACTGGTTGGGAGATAACTCAAGAAGTAAAGCACATTCCTAGCATGTGTATGTCCCTGATTTTTTTGTTTGTTTGTTTGCTTGTTTGTTTCTGGGCAACATCTGGCAGTGCTCAGAGCTTACTCCTCTCTGCTCAGGGATTATCCTTGGCACTTCTCAAGGGACAATATGCTGTGTCTAGGATTGAATCACATGTAATGCAAGTGCCTTACCTTTGTCCTGTCTTTCTGGTGCTGAGAACAATATAAATTTCGGCACCATATTATTCCTGTCCCCAACATTACCAGGAGTGGTTCTGCAGGTCTCAGAGATACTGGGAGTGGCACCTTAAAAATATGTAAGGACTAAACACAGCTGAGCCTGATTTGATCCCCAGCAACTCATATGGTCCCCCAAGCACTGCCAGAGCAGGAGTGATTGCTGAGCCCAAGACCAGGAATAAGCCCTGAACACTACTACATGTGGCTCAAGAAAACAAACACAACAAAAACAAGTAAGGATCATATGCCCAAGTGACTGATTTACCAAAAAGCTTTCAGTAAAAGACTTACTCAAGAGACTTATTTATTCCAGCAAGAAGGCAAACCCCACCTCATGGTTGTTTTCATTACCTCATGAATTTGATTTTTGGTTAAAGGACAGTATAGCCCAACTTGATCATTTACATGATCAGCTCCAACATCTTTTAATGTGCTCATTCGAGAAATTCAAACAAATGTGCATCAGTCTGCGAGGGAATTTTCGGGGGGGGCTAGAGCTATACTATAGCAGGTAGGGCACTTGCCTTGCAAACAGCTGACCCCGTTTCTATCCCCAGCATACCCCGTGGCCCCCAAACCCATGAGTGGTGATCCCTGAGTGAAGAGTCAGAAGAAATCCCTGAGTATAGCCTGGTGTGCTCCCAAAACAAATACAAGAAAAAATAATACTTAGAAACAATTCTAAACAATGACAGTGTTATTAGAATAAATTATTACCTGAAAAAAGAGAACATTAATTTGAATGTGTAAACTCTAACATTACATTAAAATGTGTTCATTACTTGAATGTATGTGTGTACATTACTGGAATGAATGTATGTACTCTACACTATAAAATCCAGCTCCCGGATGAGAGCAATGCAGTCTGCCCCCGCGCCTGGCTGTTCCTCGCCGGGGCCCCTTGGAGGGGAGTGGGTTGAGCTTTCCTCCCCGCCCCGACCAGGGCTCCGGCAGCCGAAGACCTCCAGGACCAGCCACCACCATGCTGAGACCACTCTCCGCACACCTGAAGGTACTGGCAGAGGGACAAATCCACGTGGGTTCCGGGGCCGAGATCTACAAGCCTACTCGGATTGGAGTTGAGCATCCTCCACCCAGATCCTCCAAATTCCAGTAGGCGGGGGTCACACCCACCACCTGGCCCCCTGGCGCCGTGTAATCCCATCAACGGCCAAGACTCAGAGACTATAAAATCCAGCCCCCGGAACCGCGCGGCCGCGCGACATCTTATCAGGACATATTTTATGACATCTTATCATCTCATTCCTACTTTGGACAAACTTGCAGGCTATCGAAAGTAGC